GTAGAGTTGAGTATGTCACCTGTCATGTCAGTATATGGAAGGGATAGTGTGATCAGACCCATCATCATCATCATCATTCCTTTATGACCCCTGGGGAGCAAAGGACTGCATCTACACATTTCCAGCGGACTCTGTTTTGGGCTGCTCCCTTAATCTGTGTCCATGTGAACCCAACTGTCTTGGCCTCTTCCTCAACCGTTCTTTTCCATGTTTTCTTTGGCCGGTCCACTTTCCTTTTTCCCAGGGGATTCCAGTCCATAGCATGTTTTGCGATATTTTCTTTTTCTCTTCTTAACGTGTGTCCGATCCATCACCATTTAGGGGCCTTGATGTCCTTTTCTATTGGCTGTTGCTTTAAAAATTGCACATGTCTTTGTTTGATATTTTGTCTGGCCATCTTATTTTAAGTATATGTCGTAGGCATTTGTTTTTGAACGACTTTAGCTTCTCGGTATTTGCCTTTGTAACCCTCCAAGTCTCCGAGCCATATAGCAATATTGCCTTGACATTTTCGTTGAAAATCCCAATTTCGCTCCGAAGTGACAGGGCCGTGCACCTCCACATCGGGCGCAGTGAGTTGAAGGCACATCTAGCCAAGTTTATACGGCATTTTATGTCCTCGTCTGCTCCTCCGTCCTTATTGATCACGCTTCCCAGATATGTGAATGTGTTCGTTTCTCGTAGATCTTCTCCATTTAGCTGTATGAGCCGGTCCTGGCTGTTATTGATTCTGATAGCCTCTGTTTTATTTTTATTGATTTTTAGTATAACTTTGGAGGCTTCTTCAGATAGTCGATTCAGTTTGGCTTGTGTAGGTTGATACTTGTGAGATAGTAGGCAGATGTCATCGGCAAAATCAAAATCTTCCAGTCTTTTTGTTAAACTCCAATGGTTCCTGTTTCTTTTTTTTTTTTTTTTTTTTTTTTTTTTTTTTTTTTTTTTTTTTGGTTTTCAGCATGATCCTGTCGATTACCATCGAGAATATCATTGGTGATAGCATACATCCCTGTCTCACTCCCGTCGTCAAAGGGAATGGTTTTGTTAGTTTTCCCTTGTGTATTACCTGACTGGGGGAGTCTTCATATAGTTTCTGTGTGATAGTTATACATTTTTCAAATATTCCATAGTGGCTCATTAGCTTCCAGATAACATCTCTATTCACACTGTCAAAAGCCTTTTCGAAGTCGACAAAAGTCATGTATAGGAAGGATTGCCACTCGAAGGACTGTTCAATAATGATAAGCCGCGTGGCAATGAGGTCCATACATGACCTGTCTTGAAGAAAACATGCTTGTTCTTGTCTCAGCTTTTTGTCCAAGGCATCTCTAAGTCTCTCTATGATGATCCTTGTCAGCACCTTACTTGGGGCAGAAAGAAGCATTATCCCTTTCCAGTTGTTGCATTGTGTCAGGTCTCCCTTCATTGGCAGTTTTATCAGGTAGCCCAGTTTCCAGTCAGATTGAATTATCTTATCTTCCCAAATCTGCTTAAGTAGAGTATGTAATATGTCTGCTGATATGGCTGGAGATGCTGTCCGGGCAAGCTGCTTTGCCATTTGTATGTTCTTTATTGCTCTTATTGTATCTGACTGTGTGGGTGGATCTGTACACACATTTAGTGGGTGATTTGCAGGTGGTATATTAGGGATGTTTGCTGAGAGAAGATGGTTTAAAAGCTCCTCAAAGTGCTGTGCCCATCTGTTTCTCTGTTCTGCGTCACTGGTTTGGATATTTCCTACTTTATCTTTCACTGGTTTGTTGGGATTAATATTTTTGCCTGATAGAGTTCTGGTTACTTCATAGAGCCTCTTCATGTTTCCTTGTCCTGCTGCAGTTTCTGTATCTTCTGTCATCTCTTGTATGTACTGTCTTTTGTCTTTTTTTGCACTTTTCCTGACCATTCGATTTACTTCCTAATAATGTGTTCTGGGGTTTATTTTCTCTTTTTCATCTTTACATTTGTTCATCTTCTGCTTTATCTCTTTTCTATCTTCAGTTTTGGCCCATGTCTCTGTTGTGATCCATTCTTTTCGTTCATATTTTTTTCCATTCCCAATATGTCAGTGCATTTTGACTTCCATCTAGCCATTTTTGCTCGACTGTTTTTTCTGCCAGGCTGGAGAGTGCTTCATACCTATTTGTTTACTGCGCAGTTAAAGTCTTCATTTTTTTTTGGACTCCTAACATATGTTGTATTGCTATGAGTCGCGGTGAAATTGGTTCCCATGCAATCAAAATCAAAGCATTTGTAGCTTCTGGAGACATCATTAGGGCTACATCCTGTGTGTGTTCATGATCTTTGTCCTCGTGGCCTGAGTAGGTGACAGTCTCTCGCGAGATCAACCTAGTTTGGCCACTGCCATTCCATCGTGTCTCACTTAATCCTAGGACTTCTAATTCATACTTTCTCATTTCTTTGGCGACCTGGGCTGATCTGCTGCTTTCATGTAAGGTTCTGATGTTCCAGGTCCCTAATCTGGTTTTAGTCTTGGGCGTTAAGAGATTTGTCAGCAAACTAGCTTCCGTTAGGCTTTCACTATAGGCATCATGAGCTCTTCTAGAGAGGAACCTCCTCGACCAAGTTGGTGTTGGATTTGTGTACTTGCAGTTTCTGTAGCGGTATATTTTTTACGAGATAAGGTTGCTAGCCTTATGTTTCAACCCCCAAAAAGGGTGTTAGCTTTGGTCTAATCCCTACCCGTGCAGATCTTCCCACCTTGGTTGAACATACCAGGAGTTATTTTGTGATGATATGTGACAGACGTGATGTCCTATATGGATGAACCCCGAAACCCACAATTATCTAACTAGATAACGGGTAGTCTAGTATACTACTAAAACGCAAGTTTGTTTACACGTTTCTATATTTATTTGTTTTTCTGTTGTTTTTTTTGTTTAGCTACATGAGAGAACCTGCACTATGTGTAGAGCTGTAAAATACGTATTTATGTAGAGAATAATGTTATTTTTTTACCAAACTATTAATCACAAGTTTGCTATTTTTATTACGTTCCAACACAAATTAATCTAAAAACGTTAACAAATGTATTGATATATTCATTGGTGGAAACACAACTTTAATTACAAAAGGTCAGAACAATTACTTTATTTATAGTGAAGAAGAATGTTTTATTTACTTTTTTTTTACAACAGCCATAGCGGCTTCCGTGTAGATCATGTTGCCAATTCAAAAGTTTAACTCATTATACAGCTGCATTTTCTGTCGACTAGAGCTTTTTGTTTGCTATTTTTATTAAGTTCCAACACTATTGTCAATTGTCATTAGGATACGCTGGGCAGTTCTTCTAATTTGAATAGTTCTTAATCTATACCATATATTTATATACCTAGCCTAGATCTAGAGATTCTAGATCTGACGATAGGCCGAAATCATAATTAATGAGTTAGATACAAAAACACATTAAGTAATTGACTCGCTTTATTAAACTATTTTAGTCCTTAAATATTTAATATAAATCTTTGCTTTTTTTAGCTTCACAGATCATCTAATTGAAGAATACAAGGGATTTATCTACATTTAGAGCAACGACTGAAGCCAGCCGTAGATTCTAGATCTAGATCTAGCTAGCTAGATCTATCTAGTTCTAGTATTTATGCCAATAATGAGATCTATACTAAACAATTTCAGGCCTTAATTATGTATATACATCTTTTTTCAGCTATGGAATTGTTTAATTTGAGATAAAATTTAATTTGAAATAAAAGGGCCTATTCGTGTAACTCAAGTTTCTTACACTAAGTATCTACTGAAGATCTGCTCAACTTTCACAACGCACGACTATTTTTATCCAAACTAATTAAAAACATTACCCAAATAAACAAAATATACTAACGCTACTACTTAATACTCTCAACTAGCCATTCCCAACACACGATTAACAACCCCATCTACCAATCAGCAACGAATCAACTCTCGGTCACTCCAAAAACGATCTACCTTCAAATCGACATCGCAAACACAAGAGACACAACTTCAAGACGTCAGAATGACCCTATTATAGCTACCTATGAAGATCAACCAACATTCACTGTAGATTTTTCAAACGCAAGAATCGACACAAGAAATTTATATGAAATGTAAGACAAAACTACAAAGGAAAGTTCATAAAATGAAAATTATTTCCTTTAATGTAAATTGTATTGCAATAATATATATTTCATGTATTTTAATGTATAAAAATGCAACCTATCCACGCAGCAAGGTCCTGTCTCGAATGAAGTTAATTGTGGGGAAGGAAATGTATAAAACGTAAAAAACAAAAATCAGGTTAAATTTAATAAAAGCAACAGCTTTTTGTACACTAGATGGACCACTTAGTTTTCCGCCTCCACCTCTTACTGATATTCATACCCAACTCTCTCCCTCCCGACTTGAAATCTTTTTTTTTTCAGAAAAGAAGCTTACTTTTTTTTAATCACGTATAATATGTACACATTTTTAGATTGAAAGAAATAGCTGTGAATATAAATTTACATATTAATGCACCAGTGGATGAACTCGTGACTTGGATAATATTACTTATAATTTCATTGAACATTTGACAAATTCCTAAATACTGGGCAGCGCAAGGTATATGATGCTAATCTATACTCTAATCCAGGGGTTCCCAACCCAGCGCCATGGCGCTGAACGATTCGTATGTGCCCGCCTCTCACTATTCGACAGAGACAGAATTTTTTTCATACACATTATTTTAAAATATTATTTATTTTTATTCATTTGTTACAGTTTAAATTTTTTTTGACTGCCTAGGTTTATTAAATGTGTTCGATACTTGTCCCAACTTGTCTAACGGCGAGCCAGACTGCACTATTTACGTTTTGTAAATACATTTCTCTGTGTATGCAAGATGAAAAAAATGCCAAATAATTTTATTATTTTGAAACATTTTTGTTTATTATTTATTAATACATTATGACTATAAGAAAATAAGAAAATTAGAAAATAAATTATGGGAAAATGACAAGTTATGGAAGGAGTTTGTCGATTTAAAATGGGTGGTGCCCACCACCCTACCGATATTTTAGAATGTGCTCTAGAGTAAAAATGTTGGGAACCCCTGCTCTAATCTATACTCCCATCTAATGCTGAAAACTCTTTAAGCTTTATTAATTCTATTATTACATTGGATCTAGATCAGCATATCATTTATTTATTAGTTTCTCTAGACAAAGACTACATCAATGACGTTTTAAAAGCTTGAAGGTGAATGTAAATATCGAAAACTAAAGCAGACTATGGTTATACTTTTGCATAATTAAAAATAAAAAGTTATATTTATTGTTAGATAAACATATTTTAAAAACTTTGGACAATTTACTATCGGATTCTTACTGGATCTATATTCAGTTTTGCTGTCTATGCATTAATTAAGGATTTTTCATTTTTTGTATTTTCTGTTTTTGAATCAACTAATGAAATTAAAGCAGAAAGGGTTTTTAAAAAACTCAATACTCCCGCATTATTTACGTATATGTCGAGATTTTTCTTGTTACCTGTTGTACATTTATACACACAATAACTCAAATTCACCTGGAAAAGTTGCCGAAGGTGTATATCTCATGACCTCACAATAATTTGTCGAGTAAAAATTCTTTTTTTCTTTGATTTCACCATCAACATAAAGCGTAGTTTCACTCCTTGTAACAACTATCGTAATATGGATCCACTCTCTGCAAGAATTAAAACGTGTGTATCAAACAACTAAAGCTAAATATAAAAAAAATTTCTAATAAAGCAAGCGTTTTAAATGCACAATGAAAATCAGATAATAAAGTTTAATTAGCTTTCTTTAATAAAAATTTGGTCGCTCATGAGATTTCTTTACAAATTTTAGCAACAAAAGTTTTTATGAAAGAAAGCTTATTAATTTTATTATCTTATGTACAGTGCATTTAAAAGTTTGCTATTAGAAAGGTTTTTCATTTTTTTTTAAATTTTCAACATTTTAGTCATACATAATTTATAAATTCGACACTACCAATGCTAAAATATTTGCTTTAAAAAACTATCATTAGCTCGGGACTGACTATGATTCCACGCCACCTCCCAGTGAATGCAGCCGTCAGTGACGACTGCTTACAATCGACAACAAACAGATCAAGCAGGTCTTGTTACCTCTCCTTAGTTAAAAATCGTTTAAAAACTTTATTCTCTACTCAAATAGCCTTCATTAGATCGAGAAGATTTATGATTGTAAGCACTTGGCGTGAACCCCAGCTCACAAGACCGGTCGGGTGATAGTGTCTAGCTAGTTATCTCACTGATGTTATTGAATATAGTAGTCTATCGAGTTATTTAATTGTGTTATCTCCCTTTAGTTTCCAAAATTTTAAATTAATTTTAAATGACTAATTAAACATTTTATTAAATTGAAAAAATAGATAGACGTGTATAGTCATCAAAGTGAAACGTATCGGGAAAGTTTGAACGAAATCGTTGTATCAGAAGTGGGTCGAATTTGAGTAACAATATTTGTCACAAGCCCACAAACAAACAGACGGAGTGAACTAAATAAAAGCTTTTAAAATAAAATGAGCAGTTTTTTTTGTTGAATTTTTAAGCATTTTTTTTTCTCGCTTTCTGGTAATTGTGTTGCGAATCTTGTTTTTTTCTAAGGCTTATAACCTGTATGTTGAGTCGGTAGGGGTTAAGATCAAGGGGTAACGTAACTCTTTTTATTTAAGTTTGCTGTTATGTTCAATGTCCAGTTTCTTTTCCTGTTTTGTTGTATCCAGGGATACATTTTTTTTCCCTTTGTTATTGTTGGGTTGATTTCAAAGTAGCCTAAACAGCATGAACACATCATCGCTAACCCGTCTTACGTAACAAGTACTTATCACTTATATACGTATTTTAATAAAAAAGCTGTGTGTACTATTTCGAAAACCTACTTTTTTATTTTGACTCTGTCAGCGGGTGCTGAATATATAGACAGGGTGAAATCATCGCAGCCAAAATATGCCGCGCCTGGTTCTTGTCCTAAGCTAAACACGACTTGACTGTTGTACAAATTGTGGGGAAAGTTGAACCAAGCTTGAATACTATTATTACTCCGGCCGAGAAAAGCATAAAAGATGAAGTCCTTGTTCAAGATGACGTCGTAGACTGTAAAACATGAAAACATTTGAGGCACACAAATAAACTACCCATGCAGCAATTAATAAACCGGGAGTGATCTCCCCTAAACTTTCTCAAATATTGTTATATAAAACAACATACTTAAACTTTTTTAAAAATATGCTGATATAGCGTAAAGTAGCCTAATACTTTCGGTTAAAGAAAAGTAATCTAGCTGTAATGGTATTCAAGTTATCGTGCTCACAGACACACGCACATACACAGACACACACACATACACACATATACACAGATATGCGGACAGAATTGTGCAAAGCCAAGTTTTTCCGACTCGATTACGCATAGAACGCCGAAATGTTGATAAATCAACATTTCTAATTTTTGCCAGATGAAAGTAAGTTACCTATACTCCGTATGTAATGATGTACTGAGATGTAAAACGATGAAAACTCTCAAAATGTTATGTCATTTTTGTGCACGATTACAAAACTTTCTATATACTCGGTATACGAGGAAATAAAAAGAGAAGAAATATTTTCTTTGAAATATTTAATAACGAGCTACTATTTGAATAACACGATTAAAAAAAGTTAGTTGCGATCGGTTTTGAAGCGCTAAGCACGACAGACAGATGAAGCAAGTTAAATAAAATCTTGTAAAAATAGAGATAAATGTCTACAGCTACCCAAATCCAGATTTAATTAAATCAGTTCAACACCCATTTTACAAATTAACCCCAGTGGCTAGAAAAGGGGTACATTATGCGTATTCTTTAATATAAACGGTGTTAACAGACTTATCTACTCTCTAATAATGTTTACATTTAATCAATATACGTTGGAGAAACCTCCCCCCCCCCGCACCCGATTTAGTTAAATTAAAAAAAAACAAATTTAAATAATTTGTATAGAATTAATAAGACATACATTCACAATGATTTTTAGTTTCCGTGATCTGGTTCGCCATTCCAAACGAGCACTTAATAGTAGCGTCGCAATATTTCCTTCCAATAGCAAGAGTTATCTGATCTAATCCACATTTTATACAAGGTTCGTGGCCAGTGTTAGAATAGTAATTTCTTTTGCACAAAAGCTTACCTGTAGAAATGTAAAAAGATTCATGCGTGTATACAATATATATATAAAGCTATAATATATAAAGCTCAATTCTGTATGTAATAAGTGTGTCGTTGACATACTTCCATGGATTTAAGTGTTAGATAATTAAAGTCCTTATGGTCTAAATTTATGAGTTAAAAAATTAATATTGAAAGTTTTGGGAAAAAATTTTCATTTATCAAACTGAAAGTAATAATTTTCGGCATGTTCATTAAACACAAGTTTTTAAAAAATATCATCTTTTACAAAAATTCTAATTATGTCTTTATTTAGTCCTATAGCACTTACTTCCCTTTGATAAATTAGGAAAACACAATTACTTCCCTTTATGAAACCATTGCATTAATGGAAAAGAATTTACTTTTTATTACTTTGTTTTGGTGTTGGGAAAAAAAATAATTACATAATTAGCGGGGATTGATCAAGTGCAAATGTTGTAGGTATTTTACGGATGAGCTTGGAGTATTATAATTGTTTATTAAATTGAAACAGCCGCGTTCGTTTAAGTGAGTGCAAAAGACTATGAATAAGTTGGGGTACTATAGTCGTTCATTAAGCTAAAACAGGTGATTCCGCCCCGGGCGTTTATGTTCGCGTTAGTGTTTTCTTTGTGTTTAGGTGGGTTTGCGTTAGTGGTTGCGTTTTGATTTGGTTCGTTTTTGTTCTTTCTTTTTTCGTTTTTGTTTGTGTTTTTTTCTTTGGGTTTGTATTTGTGTTTTTAGTTGGCTTTGCGTTTGGATTCGGTTTGTTTTCGTTTGCTTTTTCGTTGTTTTTTTGTGTTGGTATTGGTGTTTGTGGTTGTGGTTGGGTATGTTGTTAGGTTTTTGTTTTCGTTTGCTTTTTTGTTTGTTTTTTCTTTGTGTTTGTATTGGTGTTTGTGGTTGTGGTTGGGTTTGTTGTTAGGTTTTTGTTTTCGTTTGTATTTGTAATTGTGTTAGCGTTGTTTTGGTTTTGATTGGTTGTGGTTTGGGTGGGCAATGCCGGCTTTATGATGATTACTAAACACACAGGTAATGGTCTTTAACAGAAAGGTTTTTCACAGAAGCCAGAGCAGGGCCTGGCCGGCTAGTATATATATATATATATTCAAGCATTCAATAATTTTACCATGTATATAACAACGATATTCAGTAAGCGCTATTAGCGGCTGGGTCAAGTCTTACCACTACATTCAGTAGACGCTATAAGCGTCATGTCTTTCCACTTCATTCAGTAGACGTTATAAGCGCCTGGGTCATGTCTTACCACTTCATTCAGTAGACGCAATAAGCGCTTAAGTCATGTCTTACCACTACATTCAGTAGACGATATAAGCGCCTGGGTCATGTCTTACCACTACATTCAGTAGACGCTAGAAGCGGCTGGGTAATGTCTTACCACTACATTCAGTAGACGATATAAGCGTCATGTCTTACCACTACATTCAGTAGACGATATAAGCGCCTGGGTCATGTCTTACCACTTCATTCAGTAGACGCAATAAGCGCCTGAGTCATGTCTTACCACTTCATTCAGTAGACGATATAAGCGCCTGGGTCATGTCCTACCACTACATTCAGTAGACGATATACGCGCCTGGGTAATGTCTTACCACTACATTCAGTAGACGATATAAGCGTCATGTCTTACCACTACATTCAGTAGACGATATAAGCGCCTGGGTCATGTCTTACCACTTCATTCAGTAGACGCAATAAGCGCCTGAGTCATGTCTTACCACTTCATTCAGTAGACGATATAAGCGCCTGGGTCATGTCTTACCACTACATTCAGTAGACGATATACGCGCCTGGGTAATGTCTTACCACTACATTCAGTAGACGATATAAGCGCCTGGGTCATGTCTTACCACTACATTCAGTAGACGATATAAGCGTCATGTCTTACCACTACATTCAGTATACGATATAAGCGCCTGGGTCATGTCTTACCATTACATTCAGTAGACGATATAAGCGCCTGGGTCATGTCTTACCACTACATTCAGTAGACGATATAAGCGTCATGTCTTAACACTACATTCAGTAGACGATATAAGCGCCTGTGTCATGTCTTACCGCTACATTGAGTAGACGCTAGAAGCGCTTGAGTCATGTCTTACCACTACATTCAGTAGACGCTATAAGCGCCTGGGTCATGTCTTACCACTACATTCAGTAGACGATATAAGCGTCATGTGTTACCACTACATTCAGTAGACGATATAAGCGTCATGTCTTACCACTACATTCAGTAGACGATATAAGCGCCTGGGTCATGTCTTACCACTACATTCAGTAGACGATATAAGCGCCTGGGTCATGTCTTACCACTACATTCAGTAGACGCTATAAGCGCCTGGGTCATGTCTTACCACTTCATTCAGTAGACGCTATAAGCGTCATGTCTTACCACTACATTCAGTAGACGCTATAAGCGCCTGGGTCATGTCTTACCACTACATTCAGTAGACGCTATAAGAGTCATGTCTTACCACTACATTCAGTAGACGCATTAAGCGTCATGTCTTACCACTACATTCAGTAGACGATATAAATGCCTGGGTCATGTCTTACCACTACATTCAGTAGACGATATAAGCGCCTGGGTCATGTCTTACCACTACATTCAGTAGACGCTATAAGCGCCTGGGTCATGTCTTACCACTTCATTCAGTAGACGCTATAAGCGTCATGTCTTACCACTACATTCAGTAGACGCTATAAGCGCCTGGGTCATGTCTTACCACTACATTCAGTAGACGCTATAAGAGTCATGTCTTACCGCTACATTCAGTAGACGCTATAAGCGCCTGGGTCATGTCTTACCACTACATTCAGTAGACGATATAAGCGCCTGGGTCATGTCTTACCACTACATTCAGTAGAAGCTATAAGCGCCTGGGTCATGTCTTACCACTTCATTCAGTAGACGCTATAAGAGTCATGTCTTACCACTACATTCAGTAGACGCTATAAGCGCCATGTCTTACCACTACATTCAGTAGACGATATAAATGCCTGGGTCATGTCTTACCACTACATTTAGTAGACGATATAAGCGCCTGGGTCATGTCTTACCGCTACATTGAGTAGACGCTAGAAGCAGCCGGGTAATGTCTTACCACTACATTCAGTAGACGATGTAAGCGACATGTCTTACCACTACATTCAGTAGACGATGTAAGCGACATGTCTTACCACTACATTCAGTAGACGATATAAGCATCATGTCTTACCACTTCATTAAGTAGACGATATACGCGTCATGTCTTACCACTACATTCAGTAGACGATATAAGCGTCATGTCTTACCACTACATTCAGTAGGAGATTCTGACGTCCAGACGGCAGGGCATGGCAAGCATTCCCTGCCGTCCTCCAGAGGCTGGTAGGTGCCTAGGGGACATGGTCTACAGCTGTGTGAACGATGTGTTTTATAGTAGCCTCTGCCGCAGTTTGCTGTGCAATTACCATTTATAAAATAGAAAAATAACCTGTGAGAAGTATACACACACACACACAAACACGCATTTATTTCTCTCTCTCTCTCTCTCTCTCTCTCTCTTATATATATATATATATATATATATATATATATATATATATATATAAATATTATATATATATATATAGTTCGCTCTGTATAAATGTATTTACATATACATATATATTTATTTACACACACATACATACATACATACATACATATATAAATATATATAAATAAATATATATATATATATATATATTTCCGATTTCTCAAAAAACGCATGCAAATTTATAAAGTACTAATAATATTGCGCACTATTATGCACATTTTGTTTTGGCGTTCGCTTGGTGCGCAATGTTTTTTTCTATGAGATTCTATTATATTTTTAAAAGTTTAAGTAATTAAAAATCATGTCTACATTCCAAGTTATATAAGAATATTCGAGAAAGTTTAGGGGAGATCACTCCCGGTTTATTATTACTTTGTTTTGGTGTTGGGAAAAAAAAGAATGGGCAATGCCGGGTATATGATGATTACTAAACACACAGGTAATGGTTCTTAACAGATAGCTTTTCCACACAGCCAGAGCAGGGCCTGGCGGGGACGGCTACCAAGCCCACATCTCCAGAAAAACAATTTTTAGCGCCCCCTTCCCTGGAGAATAAAAAGTCTCAAAGAAACACCATCTGCATGACTGAGGTTTAGCGGCCAAAAGTAGGAAACGGGTCTATATTATAAAAGTAAGCTTGACATTTAGTCTGTGTGATCTACAAATGCGACCAGTATTCCATTCAGAGGTTTTTCTTCCCGGAAGAGAGGTAATTGAATTTTTTTTGCGGGGAGGGGGAAGGAGCTGACACTGGTAAAAGTATATTTTCTATTTAAATTATATTTCGAAATATAGTACGGTAAACGTACAGAAATAAACTCTAAATATGACTTTTGTCAAGTTAGAGCTTATGTGCAAGGTTTAGGGGTATGACTACGACTATATTTAGTATGAATGTGAAGTAACAACGCGTAGATCAAAGTTAAATCCTGGATTAAAATCCGTTTTCAATGATTTTTTGTTTCCACTTAAATTTGAAGTTGAGCTGGGTGATTTTGGTTTCGGTTTAGAGAAAAAGACAACACTATCAACCCATCGCCCGTTGTATTTCCCCCTCAACGGGTCATTCTTCTCGTTTACTAATATTTAGGAAGAGATTTTATTTTTGTTTACAAAAGAGTAGCACGAATAAAAAACATTGCGCACCAAATGAACATTATAATGTGGGTATAATAGTTCGGAAAGTGAACAAAAAGGCAGCCTACTAATTTCGATTTTTTAAAACTTAATTCATTAAAAAATTATTCAGGCATCTAAATAATTTAATTCTAATGTCATATTGCTTTGTCTTCAAGTCTTGACCCACGTGCCAACATTGAAACGAATCTGTTAGAATTACCCGAAATTTTCCTCGCCTTTTCGATCTATGACAAAAGTTAGACAGACAGACTATCGACAGACTGACGACAGACAAGAGGAAGCAAGTATAATAAAAGTTAAATAAAAGCTTGTAAAAACTTTATATCATGGTGAAAATATCACAAGTTTTACTGAATAAAATGTTGGGGGAAATAAAACATACTAATTATTTATATCATATGCCAAAACAAATTCCCCACCATAAGACCGAATTAACTTATAAAAGTTGGTGATAAGAATACACACATTATAAAAGAGTAGCCTTCATATTAATTTATAAAAGACAAAAAGTATAAATTGTAACGCAACAATTACCATAGCACTCTTCAAGAGATCCAGCTCCACTGTTGTTTGTGTTCCAGTCAGGTGGGCATGGGAGGCACTCCGCCCCCTCGGTAAGGGGCTGGTAGGTACCGAGAGGGCAGACAGCGCACTCCCTGGAATCGTTGGTAAATACTGCTCCTATTCCGCAACCAACTGCGTACATAAAGACATATAATGTACATACATTTAAATCCAAGTCTTACAATTTTTTTTATATTTAAATCCAATGTTGAAAGTAGCATAATATTTTTTTTAACTTCTCCATTGCGAATTTATTATTTGAGGGATTGTTGTGGTGGGGGAGGTTATGTTATTATATATATATATATATATATATATATATATATATATATATATATATATATATATATATATATATATATATATATATATATATATATATATATATATATATACTAGCCGTCCCGGCCAGGCCCTGCTCTGGCTTTTGTGAAAAACCTTTCTGTTAAAGACCATTACCTGTGTGTTTAGTAATCATCATAAACCCGGCATTGCACACCCAAACCAAAACCAAAACAACAAAACGCAAACATAACGCTAACACAATTACAAATACAAACGAAAACAAAAACCTAACAACTAACCCAACCACAACCACAAACACCAATACGAACACAAAGAAAAAAAAACGAAAAAGCAAACGAAAACAAACCAAATCCAAATGCAAAACCAACCACAAACCCAAAGAAAAAAACACAAACGAAAAAACAAACGAAAACAAACCAAATACAAACGCAAAACCAACCACAAACACAAATACAAACACAAACGCAAAGAAGATAAAACACAAACGAAAACGAAAAAAGAAAGAACAAAAACGAACCAAATCAAAACGCAACCACTAACGCAAACCCAACCTAAACACAAAGAAAACACTAACGCGAATATAAACGCAAAGTGCTCACGGGGCTGAATCGCCTGTTTCAACTTAATAAACGACTATAGTACCCCAACTTATTCATAGTCTTTTGCACTCACTTTAATGAACGTAGGCGCGAAACCGAACACGGGAGGCCCGGGACCCTCTGGGCGCCAGAGGACGCACCATGACGTCACCGCCTGATTGAACTTTGTAAACGACTATAGTACATAACTTATTCATAGTCTTTTGAACTCACGCGAACGTAGATACCATAGCGTACACCGGAAGGCCCGGGGCGCCAAATAGCACCCTGTCGGGGTGCCGGAGGACGCCCGGATTTGATTCACTTAAAGACTATAGTAACCTTTCTTATCCATAGTCTATCGCACTGTTCAAAACAAAATTATGCAGCATAGCGCTCACATGATAGCCCAGGGTGCCAAATCGAACCGTGCAGGGGCGCCGGCGGACGCGCCTGTTTCAATTTAGTGAACAAAAATGATAATACTCCAAGCTTATCCGTAAATGGAAAGAAATAAACATATATGATTTGTAGGACCTGGCTTATTAAATGTTATTGATTTTAAAAAAATAATAATTATTGAACAGTATGTTCAGTGTATAGAATAAATAAAAGGCAGTGTTAAAAATACCTAACGACATTGCACTTAATCAATCCCCGCTAATTGTGTAATTATTTTTTTTTTCTTAACACCAAAACAAAGTAATAAAATGTTAATTCTTTCTTAAGGATTTTTTTTTATTAAAGGGAAGTAACTGTGCAGTCAATACATTTCCGACACAATTTTAGAAATGTTATAAACGTCGATACACTTTTTAAAAATTTTATGTCGTGTTCATAATTGAAAATTATTCTTCCAAGTAAATAGAATGAAAATTGTTTTTAAAGACTTTCAATGGTAATTTTTTGACTCGTAAATGTAGACTTTGAGCACGATAAAAAATCTAACACTTGAATCCGTAGAACTGTCAACGACAAACTTTTTTTTGCCACACGTTACAGAACTGAGCTTTATATATTAGATATATATACCGCGATAAACGAATAATATATTCTCTCGTTCGTGGATCGACTCTTCTCTATAGCCTGTCTGTGTGCGAAATCAACAATAACTAAAATGTCGAATTCACAGATATAAAGTTTCTATATTCGCACATAAATAAATCTCTTACTCTTCTCTAAACTGCTTTGACTGTCTCAACTATCTCATAATTATACATGATCTCTACCGTGACTACAAAAGCCTTCTACACATAACTGTTTTATCCGTTGCTTCTAATCCTCGATTTTCCCCTACACCAATTTGCACTAATTGCACAGTTGAATCTATATTTCTATTTAGTGAATTCTTTAGTATTCATATACATAAGAACCGTGCGAACTATTTTTTTGACTGGCAATATTCCAAAAATTTCACAGTCTTGTACAATTTCTTATTGTAGTTTGGCGAGAGGAAGTAGTGAGATGCCCTCTAAAAACTGAAACGCTTAGCAATAATCCAGTAATACTGACAGACAAACACGAAAAACAAAACAGATTGCGCCTTAAAACTTCAAATGATAAAGACTACGTAAGAGTTGAAAAAATATGTTTGCACATGCGCAGAAAAAATGAATTAGACATAAATCGACTACGCATTTCTCGATTAAACTGCTATTGCGATATCACATAAAGATACATAAGATTTAAGACATTAAAAAAGTGCATTTATAATACATAGCTTTATAAAATACTTAAACCGCTTAAACAGAAAATTGTTTGAAAGTCGAATTGTGTAACAGTGAGTTATGTATACTGGTATAATATGAAGATTGTATGTAAGTGGAAACGCACAATAAATAACACTGTAATCAGAAGGGTCTGTGAAAACATGGTATTTTACGTACTATAAAAAATATTAATTTTTAAGTTAGATACATTTCCTATTTTAGAAAACTGATGTACCTTAAGTTTCAATTTCAAATACCTGAGCCACATTTTAACATTAGTTTTATATTCATGCAGCTTCTTTTAAAAGTAAATTTTGATTCTCAAATAATTAAGCCGCAGTTAACGTTTGTATTATTAAATTCAGCTTCTATATACTTAAAAGCAAGTTTCAAATAAAGCTTCAACTTATTCAAGTTAAAATTAAAAACTGTAAGCTCTACTTACTGCAGGCCAGATAAAAATTGTATTGCATAGCGTATACCAAAGGCACCTCACACGGTTTGATAACATAGCTTGCCGCGCTCCCCAAATATTTAGCGTCCAAGATCTGAGAACTATTCTTGAGTATAAAGCTTTTGTCATTTGAAGAGGTTTCAAAAAAGAACATTAGATCGTCAATGTCATCCATAATGGGAACGTGTTTATCGGGAGTTACATCAATCTTAAAAGTAATCGTCACCTGCAGTTAATATGAATATATATATATATATATATATATATATATATATATATATATATATATATATATATATATATATATATATATATAAGCAGGGTATTAAGTGCCGTGTGGTATTAGGACCCTATCAGCACCCCACCCCCACAAAAATCCCAATAAAACTACTTCTGGTAATAACCATTGCTGTTCTTTGATAACAGAGAAGCAGAAGATTCATTTTATGTAATGTCTGACCCACTTGACCCAGCAGGAAGAAGATGAGAAGGAATTAATCCCACTGCTCTTTCCCTAAAATTCCTCATCTCCATAAAGCCATTTTTTGAGCTTTTACATAAGTAGACATAACTTAGGAAACTTCACCTTGTAATAAACCCCATGTGTTTTTCAAGACCATTCTTTGTTCCTGTATTAAAGCATTGGTTGTTGTTCATTTTAACACCATTTTTATAACTATGGCAAGAATATTTTTATTTTGGTGAATTGGTTCATACAGTGATTTGTCGGGTTTTACCATGCTATAGGGTTTTTATCATTATCAGAGTAAAACTTGACTGATCAATATCATAATGGTTTTATTTGTTAGATAATAACTAAACATACATGAATACATTAATTTTGTCAACTAGCTTGCTTGTTTAGAGATAGATATAGATGTAGATGTAGAAGTAGATGTAGATGTAGATGTAGGTGTAGATGTAGATGTAGATGTAGATGTAGATGTAGA